GATTCCATTCTGCTTCGATTGCACGCAGATAAAAAAGTTTGATTGAATTATTCAACAACGAACGAACCAAATTGTTTTAATTGGAGGTTGAAGGAAACGGAATTTCTGGTTCTTAGAACCAGAGAGAGAAATATGGTTTAGAAGAATTTTTGATTCCAGGAATTCTGTTAACTTCAACCAAGATGCATTTGGTTCGTTTATGTAACCGAACTTTCTATACGCGAGTTTTGAGTCGCTCGACTATACTTGACGACATCGTCGAATTCGGACGGAGACGTAATACGTGTGCGATGAATCTTTATTTTGATATAGTTTATTTTGATATAGTTTCCGTTCTCTGTCCACAATCGCGCAATCGGAGGATCTCATATACCGAAGATCATGAACGAAAATCGTAAACCGGCTGCTATATCATCACTCTCCAATTACGTGACGTATAATTACACGTTTCAATAGTACTTCGATAAACGCAAACTCGCTGCATCTCACGCTCCACTTCATGCCACATCATCTCCCCGTATACCTCCGTCTTCTCTCGTCTACAGGGTGTATGCACGAGACCACCGCTGGTCCTAGTATTGATGAGCCGAGATTCTCCAATTAGAGTCCAGAATCGGCCCTCTTGGCCGTGCAAAATTTGCAATCGGCGGAGAGGACTGACGAGACTTTCGTTCGAGACGAACGATCGCGACTCCGTTTTCTTTTCTTTCTTTCTCATTCATTGAATAATAATATCGCAATACTCTCGCAGAACACTCTGTACGTTGTTCTTGGATTTCCCAGAGCCATTATTCAAAATAGCGGCATTTCGTGCGAACGTACAAACGTGTAAAATTAGCGTAAAGTTAGGCCTGAGCCATCGACGGCACCAATTTAGACGCTCGTAAAGAGTCACAATTCGCCGGCACCCATTGTTTTTCCTACACATTATGCACCTTGCTGCTCCACTCGTGGCTGCACTCGAGAGAGCGTGGCTTTCGAGAGTTTGGACGCTCAAAAGCATTGGCACCTGTTCATTTAATGTTACACACAGCGAAATTGGTTTGAGTCGCGCACTTCATGAGACTCGGGAGAGTTCGCTTCGTTTAGGTAAAAAACAAAATAAAAAAAAGAAAAAGGCAAAAGAAACGTGCACGACGTGCAGACTCGCATGCACGCGTTTCCAGATTTGGAGAATCGTTCGTATTCCAAATATTTCCCGTCGCTTTCAGGCATCGCTATCTCTTGTGTATCGATAGTTGTCTCGAGTGGAGGAGTGCCTTCTCCTTCGGCATCTCTCGGCGATCGGGTATTAATGCTCTGGAGAGCGTCTCCGACGTGTCGCAGCCTGGGAGGAGGCCTCGCGAGTAATTGCCTTCTCTTCTTCTCCTCCTCCTGTGTAAATCAATAAGTATCTTCAAATAAGAAAGCGTCCTGCGGCAAAAGGGCGAATAAAGAGAGAGAGAGAGAGAGAGAGAGAGGGAGAGAGAGAGAGAGAGAGAGAGAGAGAGAGAGAGAGAGAGAGAAATCAACCGGAGATTCGAAACGTGCGACTTCGCTCCGACACGACGCGCTTATCGATCGACGTACGGCCGCGAAATGCGCGTGGCTGCGAGGTGTCCGGCTATTCCACTTCCGATAACCCACGCGATGCGGTTTGTTGAACTCGCGCTATAGATGGTCAATATTGTTTGCAAGACTATGACACTTGCCCTTTGCACGTCGCCGATTGCGGTCGCGCGGGAAAGGAATCGATGACTAACCGCGTCGCTGAATAATACTCATTACTAACGAATGACGAGCTTTTCAACTTGTCGGAACTAATAGATCAATCTCGAGTGAATCGCGACGTACGAAAGATGAGTCCTTCCCTCGGAGAAAATGCAAGAGGGAGTTAACGCGCGACGACGTAGGATAAAGAATAGTCGGCAAAAATGCATTTCACTCTAAACTGTCGACATTTTATTTCGCCGGGCGACGTGGAGAAATGTCAAGGCGCGTGTGTGGCCACCGATTTATCGTCGCGTCTTTGTTCACCTCGTTAGAAATAATTCGATGACGCGAACGATGGCTGACGATCAACTTTGCGCAGGAGTGAGCGCAATTCGCCCTCGTCGATTGACGCGACCAAGCGACACCATCGACCCGTGGTGTCGAGTTTACGCATGACACAATTTATTGCCAATGCGACGGGAAAGTTTTAGAAGCAGCCAGTACGATATTTAGGGGAGATGCCGTGAGGACAAGGGGAGAACCGACCGATAAGATTTACCGGGCGAAGCGTCGAACAGGCACATTTGTAATTCACTTTGCTTCTTTCCCATTTCCTTTCTTCTTCTTTCTTGTCGACGCATTTATCTAATCACACCCTGAGATATCGTTAACTCGTACCGATGAAGGATCCGGAAACAAAATCCCTTCATCTTTTCATGTCTTCGCGTTGCTCGTGTCGTTAAAAAAGGATTTTCCAGATCAACTCTAGCTCGGCGAACTTCGACCTATCAAACTGACCGTTTCACGCGCGCTTTAGTCCTAGAGAGATTTCCGAATACTCGGATCGCCTTTGACTTCATTCATATTCATTTAGTGAATTGCGTCTCGGCATCACTTTCGATCCTTCTTTCCTCGCTCTCGACATTCCAGTAAATCTTTGCGTGTGCATCTCAGAGAAGGATCTCTCGAGTCTCGGACTTGTGAGATTTTTTGATTGGTGATTTGATAGGGTTGATGGGAGTATCAGATGCATGCGGCCTTTGCCTGATGATTGCCCAGCATGCGAGCCTAGACTACTAACGCATTACGATTTGTCACGATTATTATTATTATTATCATTACTACTTGTGCTACTACTATTACTACTACTACTGTTGCTATTACTACTACTACTATTATTGTTATCATTATTATCATCATTATTATTATTGTTATTATCATTATTATTATTATTATTATTATTATTATTATTATTATTATTATTATTATTATTATTGTGAACATTGCTTTCTTGCTCGTACCCACTTGTTCTCATGATTATTGTCATTATTATGATCACCATCGGTCATGGATCACGAAGGCCCATAGTGCAAGTGACATCACGCGGGAATGATCTCTTTCTTTACGACTAATGTAATGTCTTGATATTACTTACGATTGTTCACATTTTAACTGAGACAAGTGCCGCGTAGACGTAGGCGAGTTTTTCGTCGTTCATCTCTACGGGAGCGCGCTACATCGATACTTAAATACCAATGGAAAGTTCACGTTCGATCGCGCGTTTATGGTTAACCGACAACGAGAATTTGCCCTTTTGCTCCGATACCGTCTATGATTCTCGACAGAAATTAAAGTGCACATCGTTCCTCAATTGCGGTTGTGTAAAATGTGGAGTCTCCCGTCGTAATAACCGAGAGGTTTCTGTTATTTCTCGCCCACTAAACTGAATTGTCTCGGAGCAATTTTCAAATTGCTCGACTATAAGAGTCTTCAGAATTGTTGAAACGAGAAAGCGAAGGAGGACGACGCGAGGAAAAGCGGATGGTGATTAAGGAGGCGCACGAGACGAGCTTTTCGTTCGTACTTACGTAGTCGAGTAGCGTATCACTGATATTCGAGTGTGTTTGACTCAATCAATCCGTACAGTGGGCGAAAGCTTCCGGTGAGCTTGCGACTCGCACGTAATCGCTAAGCTAATTGGTGCCTTATCGTAAATGCCGGTTCAAGAACGGGGAAAAACTTGACCGAATTAATTCATGCTTCAACTTCAAGAGAAGTTTGCACGGAAGGTGCGTGCTTTTCAGTTTCCTTCGGCGAATAATCAACGCCGTGATATTCTCGACGATTTAGATATTCAGAATTTAATTCGGGAAATCATTTTCGCCGCGATTCCTGTCGTCTCGACGACGTTGGAAAACGTCGAATAATTCTAAAGCATCGCGTTATTTTGATCAGGGCCACCAGAGGTGGTGACGCAGTAATTTGACGTGGTCTCTCCCGGATACACAACGAGTAATTATTCTGACGCATTTTGCGGACGTTTGCAGAATCGAAGAATGACACTCGATTGTCTCGTTCTTCTCGAAAACTTCAGGCATCGATTCGGTCAAGTACCCGTTCACACCGCGCATCATCGACACATCAAATCCGCTCCAGGCTTCGTCGTAACGAGGCGTGCGACCGCATCGATAGATCTGGGGAGTCGGCGGTGTGACCTCCGACTTGCTGTGTGAACGGCATGTGGTCGCGTCTCGTTCTCGACGAGGCCAAGCACAGCGTGCTTTCCCATTGAGAGCAAGGCATTAGCAACATGTTACAGAAGAAGCCATTTTTTTAGCGAGTCCTTACGTTAGTCCCTTAGTCTAGCCTAGAGCGCCCGCTTATACTAGACACGCGTCTCTCACCGCTATACTTTTATACGGTCAGGAACGATTGGCATTGATCGCGTAGCGTTGGCCGAATGCGGAGTCAATTGAAATTACCTTGAAGCGCACCGAGGAGGAAGCTGGTCTCGGGTATCGGTCTGTGACCGACGAAACGGATCCTATCATCTCGTCAGTCATCGACTACCACCGAGTCCAGCAAGTATTGAGTATACCTAATGTATCGTCCTGATGTGTGTTGAGACTGAGGCGGCCCACCAGTGGGGGGAGGGGGGCGATTTCGTTCCTAGCATTCCGCCAACGCACGTCGGTGACCGTGTGTGTGTGTGTGTGTGTGTGTGTGCGTGTGTGTGTGCGTGTGTGTGTGCGTGTGCGTGTGTGTCGTGTAATATTATATATATATATATATATTATATATAATGTATGCATTATATATATATATATATATAATGTGTAATATGTATCTGTAGGAGCCTCCAGTACCGCATAAGTAGCGCCACACTCTCTCGACACAGACTCGGCAGATTCATACATAATAGAAACACCACACCTAGCACCGAGTTTGAAATTTGCGAGCGATTCCCATACGAATGTACGGCAGAGGACCTAGTGATGTAACGCGTCGTTCTATCGATTGTGTTGCAGGCCCGTGGGAGTCTGGGGGAAGATCGTGGGCTCGTTGTGCGCGATCGCCGGCGTCCTGACGATCGCTCTGCCTGTCCCCGTTATCGTCTCCAATTTCAACTACTTCTATCATCGTGAGACTGACCAGGAAGAGATGCAGTCGCAGAATTTCAATCATGTGACTAGCTGTCCGTATCTTCCTGGCACTTTAGGTATGTGTTCCTCTTCCAGGGAGGATTGATCGACGCAGTTAGAGAGGGGCTGTCAGTAGAATAAAGTAGAATTTACATGCGTAAATCGCGAAAGTCTCCATGAAGAGCTATTGATGGGAACGCGTATCTCCATGCATGTGTCTCACAGGTCTGAAGAAGGTCTCGATGTCAGAGTCCTCGTCGGACATAATGGAGTTGGAAGAGGGTGCCCTGTTCACTCATCCAGAGATTACTAAGAAGTCCAATTGTAACCCCCGCCATAATAACAATATCAATCCAGCCTGCATGAGCATCGAGACTGACGTCTGACTACTAGGTACGTAAATCCGTCGTCCTGGCAATTTTACCTACATGTTTCTATTTCCCGTTCGTGCGATCATCGTCTTCATTTCTTCCTGGAATCGATTTTCAGTGAAGGAGACGGTGGCAGCGTGGTGGCCGTTGCTGGGCCAGTTGTCGAAGAGCAGCTGCAGCTCCCTGCGGTGCCTGACGTAGACCTCCTTCACACTTCGTCGTAGTCGTAGTGGCTGGCGCCAGTGTCGTCGCCTGCTAAGAAGCTTGTCCAGCCAGGTCCGTCAGTTACGCGGGGCGTCACAGATCCGGGTCGCGAATTTACGGGGGCTCGCGATCCTCCGAGGAAGCTAATCGGCCCTTCTTCCACTCGGGACATCGTGATAAGCGGAAGACAGGAAGGCAAGAAGGAAAGAAAGGAAAAAGAAACAGAGAGAAAGATGAGCCCTGAGGTGTGAGCGAGGAGCAAGAGAAGGGGAAAAAATCGAGATTGCTCCCGTCTTCTCTCGAGACGTTATCGTCGTCACTTTCCACGCCAAGTCACTCGGAGAACTTGCGCCCCACGTAAGGACCCACGTGCAAACGAAGGGGACGGGATATTCCTCGCTCGCGTGCGCGTGTACGCGTGCGTGCGCACGTGCGTGCGGCCCCAACCTCCCACACCACCGACTCCAGTGTTCAAAAAAAAAAAAAGAGGTAAAGATAACAAATGATACTCAAGAAACATCGCGGCGTCTTCTTATAAGCGCCGTCGAGTGTCCCCCCACCCCTGCGGGCCCTTCTAGTTTGCGGTAACTGGACGAGTGAAACGGGGAGGGGGGAGCCGGCCGGCGGAAAAGCAACGTGGATCGTACCAGAAATACTATATTAATTATTATCGATACAAAAATTAATCGAGTACCATATATATAGGGCGACGGTAAGTTAAAGTACGTTTTACGATTAATCGCGAGTGCGTATGAGGATGCGCTTGAAAGACGTTCTTGCGGAAGAGATGAAAAAGAGGAAAAACAGCGGAAAAGTTCGCGAGAGAAGCATCAAAGACCAAAGGACCGAAGGATCGATGTTTACAGACGCAAAGGAGAGAGAGAAAGGAGGGGCGAGAGAGAAAGAGAGAGAAAGGGAGGAGAGTGTGCATGTGTGTGTGTGTGTGTGTGTGTGTGTGTGTGTGTGTGTGTGTGTGTGTGCGTGTGTGTGCGTGTGTATGTATATGTGTGTGTGGGTGAGCGCGCGCGTGTGTGGGTGAGCGCGTGTGTGGGTGGGTGTGTGTGTGTGTGTGTGTGTGTGTGTAAGGAAGAAAGGGGGAAGACTGTGTCATGTGGCGGAAAGACTATTCCGTTTTTCTTTGATCTTTTGTTTTTTCGAAGGATATTAAGTAAATCGATTTCTGTATATACTTACTATGTATTGTATGGTACCTTCATTAAGCGAGACGATTGAGTAATACGATTCATTTGTCCGATTCGTTACATTCGCGCACCTGCACACGTAAAATACACCTACATGAACGACAAAGAAGCGGTAAGATCGAAGTCGAAACGGTGCCATCATTTTGTTCAAACTGACAAGAGAGAGTTTAATTACGGATTTAACGATAACAACTCGATGACAGCTATATATACATATGTATACATAAATATATATACACATACGTACATACGTATGTATATACATACATACATACATACATACATACATACATACAATACATATATATATATATATATTTATGTATGTATATATGTGGAAATGATGACGCAAATAAGACTTCGATGATACCCATGTGTGATTGCGAAAGTTACTCTGCCAATCGGATTGCACCCCCGCCGTTTAAAAAAGATTCCAGCGATTAAGATAAGTAGATGGAATGTGGCTTGGAGAATAATCTAGTATTATGATGTTAAAAATCAAAGCATATATTACTTAAATTAGTCGTCATTTTTAAGGGGAAAAGTTATTTATTGACGTCCAAATTGCAAGTTGCACAAGTTTATCGTCATAATTAAAATCTCGTACTATATGTAAGAGTTATCTATTCACGCTTATATACAAAAGGAGATAGGAACTAGGCGACAGTGTTAAGCGACGAGGGTGCGTGTCCGTCTCGACAGCGAATTCAGGAGAGATTATGCGACAATTTGAATATTATAATAACAATAAGACCGACGCGAACTAGTGTGAGCGGTAGTAAGAATCAGAGAGAAGCGTCCGTAAAATCAAAAATCGAAGATGTCTGCCGATGGTGCGCGTTTAATGCCTAAATCGCAATTTCAGCCTTTCGGCGCGTACATTTTTATCCTCGATGTATGCGACAATGACTTTTCGAGAAACGAAATTCGAGTGAGTGATTGTCTGCACTAGAGAAAAGAGGATTTAGAAGGAAAAAGGCAGAATAATGACGACGACGTTGACGACAATGTGTGCAAGTTTGAAAAAGTACGCGTGTGTATTAAAAGTAGCTCATAAAATTCGCGTTCTTCGTTTTTATCGAAGCTCAATGATCAAAGAGTCATTTTGTGTGCGTGTGCATATGTGTACGTACGCGCGTGCGCGTGCGCACGTGTGCGTGTGCGTGTGCGTGTGTGTGTGTGTGTGTGAGAGAGAGAGAGAGAGAGAGAGAGAGAGAGAGAGAGAGAGAGAGATTCTTAGCGCAGAACTAAATTCCGATTCGCCCCGAAGTTGTCAAGAGTAACCTTTTAATAACGAGGAAAACGTGTTACATGACATTAGGTGGAAATATTTACACACTTGCAGTTTTCCTCTTCTTCTCCTGAGGTAAATCTCCCGTGGGATAAGTGCTCCGCGAACACAATTTCCAACTATGATGTATAATGTTCTGATGTTGATGATGATAAAAAAGAAGAAATAAGTTATATCGTGTGCTTCACGTGTTAAGTTACACGATTAACATAATTCGTACTATAAAGAGGAAGAAGAAAAGGAAGACATATTGTGTTGAAGTTCGGGGAGGCCGTTCGCAAGCTGTCTGAAAAACGAATTGCCACATCAATCGATCCTCGTATTTAAAATCTCTTCGAAGAGACTCCCCGAATATCTTCATCTGGAATTTTACCTTTTTTCCGTACGACGGAAGCACCACAGAATCGTTAAGACTGCCATTTCACCATTCTCGATTTATATCGCCTCCTCCCCCCTCCCCCAGGTATATTATGCCTGCGGAGCCAAATCGACTCGATCCGATCGATCCTCGATATACTGATACGAATCGAAGGAAAAAAAAAGGAAAAGAAGAAATTCGACGGGAACTAAAGCCGTGTCGTGAAGCCTTCGCTCATGTAAAATTCGAGAACATAGGAGGGGGAAGAATATAATATGAAATATGAAACAAAGAAAGAAGAACATATAAAGAGTCCTCTTTCCACCTCTCGAAGTTGGCGATTTCTGATCGTTGTTTGACTTAGTCGAGAGAAAAAGATAACAAAGTAGCCCTGGGCTACTATTCGATACACATTTGTCGACGATTGTCGATTAGTTAAGTGTCGTTACGTAGGTATAATTATAAGCAGGTATAAAATAGCTGCGTGACGACACGTATCATGCCGACAGTTATTGTATAAACGTATACAGAATGCAGCTCTAGGTGAATCTTTTTAATATCTATCCACTATATATCGCGCAATTTGGTTTCCATTGGTCGGTGTATACACGGTGTTCCCAAAGTAGCCATGTTCCTTTTGATCCGCAGATTTCTTTGACGATTCCGAATCTTTTTTCCCTCGTTGGAAATACGTTGGAAATACGTTGAGATGCCATCTTTTTCACAATTTTTTAAGATCGACTCGGAATCGACCTAGTAATCCACGGAACGAGGTAAATGGTCCAAGGGCACGCTATATGTTTCAACAGAGTTAAGCTATGTTGAAATAAAGCGAAAAAAATAGTGAGAGAGGGAGAAAGAGAGAGAAAAAGAAGGAGAACAACGGTTAGATCACTATATTTAATTTGATACTAAAGAGGCTAGCTAATTCTTATTTAGAATAAAATGAAGATGTGAAGAAACTTGCGGTTTAAGGCTGATGCATAATGAAGAGTTGAAACAAAATATAGGAGCAAGAAGTAATCGAAAAAAAATTAGTTAACAATGCTAACGTAAAGAATAAAGGAATAGCTGCAAGCGGTAAAAATTCATCTAAAAATAGATACTGTCAAACAACAAAATCGACAGAAATAGTACTAATTTCAACAATGCGATTTGTAATGCGAGTAATAGGGGAAGTACTTAGAGGAGGCGTTTAATTAGAAAATAGACACGATCCAGAAGTTAAGTGTAATAGAGTGTCCTTTGCAATTTAGGATGGGAGTAATGTTTATATTTATAATCGATCGAAGAATGAACGTAAGGAAACGCGCGCGTTACTTGTGAAGTCTACTCCTTGTATTCATCGTTTGATGTTCATTGTTTGCTAGTTCCTAATATCAGTTCATGCTCCTTGTTCTTATACTTCATTATATATCGGCTGTTTCAGACCTATAATCGATTACACGGCAAACTATGACAAAGTGAGTGAGCAAGAGAGTAAGCAATTCATACAAAAGAAAGAAAACAACAACAATTAATTCACTAGGTAATCTTAGAAGCAAATTTAATATATAGTTAATTCTGTCTTTTAATAGTCATGGGTCGATAATGGTGATGACTGAGGTTATGCAAAAGGTTGCGTGTGAGCAAGAGAGTGACATGAGGAGGAGACAAAAAATGGATGAAAAATGGAGAACGAAAGAAAATGAGAGTGAAAATGAAAAAAACGGTGTGAAAGAAACGTGAGATTGAGATAGAATGCGAGACAAATAGAAGGAATGAAAGAGAGAGCGAAAGAATAAGAGAAATAAAGAGGAGTGGATGGAATTAAAAGTGGAGGGGGGAAAATAAGGGAGAGAGAGAGAGAGAAACGAAGAGGATGAATTAGAAGATATTATCAATACAATAATTACAGAGTTTTACGTAATATGCTTTTAATGCAATATTCAAATCTTTCTCGCCTCGCCGATTCAATCCGAAAAAAGGTATAGAAATAATGAAAGGAGCAAAATATAAAAAATTACGTATCAAACTATCAGCTTAGCTAACAAAAAAAAAAGAACAACAGAGGAATGTCTAGAAAGAGAATATGTGTGACAAAGAGATATTAAAACGCGGGAATATTCTATGAATGATAATTTATTACTACTACTGCTATTAATACTATCACTACTGCAACTACCGCTACTACTACTACTGCTGCTGCTACTACTACTACTACTACTACTACTACTACTACCACCACCACCACCACCACCACCACCACCACCACCACCACCACCACCACCACCACCACCACCACCACCACCACCACTACTACCACTACTACCACTACTACTACTACTACCACCACCACCACCACCACCACCACCACCACCACCACCACCACCACCACCACCACCACCACCACCACCACCACCACTACTACCACTACTACCACTACTACTACTACTACTACTACTACTACTACTACTACTACTACTACTACTACTACTACTACTACTACTACTACTACTGCTACTACTACTGCTACTACTGCTACTACTGCTACTACTGCTACTACTACTACTACTATATTACCACCACCACCACCACCACCACCACCACCACCATCACCACCACCACCACTACTACTATCACTACTCTTACTATTACTACTCA